CCGAAAATAATGTGTATGACATCATTGCGGCAACATTCTGCTGTACAAACACGCGCGAGTTACAAGCTAACAGCGGGCTTGCGAATGCTTCAACTACTCCAAGTATTCACGCATTCATAGGCCGTTACCTGTATGTATGGTAGTTTTCCAATTGCAGAGCATAATGCGACTCAGTGACGCACAATGCCGAATTATGCTCAAGCTTAGTTGAGCATTATGCCGCATAATGCGCTCTTGTGCTGTAATTGGAAAACGGCCATATGCGCCTAAAAGGTACCTCAAGCACCGGTCATCGATCTCGTCGAACCCGTCGCTTGCGACGAAGGGCTCGACGAGTAAATTAACCCTCAAACACAGCCTACTGAGTTTCTCGCCGGATCTTCTCAGTGGGTCGCGTTTCCGATCCGGTGGTAGATTCTGCGAAGCACGGCTCTTGCTAGGGTTCGTGTTAGCAACGTCATCAGGTTTGAGCCCCGTGAGCTCACCTACTAGTTAAGGTTACGCTGATATAGCCTCTCAAGGCTATCAGCTTAGGTAGGAAAAAAAAAACAATTTTAATTCGCTTCGAGGTGCTTAAATAATCTGGATTAGTGAAGCGTTATTGAAATGAACGGACCACCTGGAGTTAAGTGGTTACCGGAGCCCATAGACATCTACAGCGTGAATGCCGACACCCACCTCGAGACATGAGTTTCAAGGTCTCAGTTTTTACAGTACAATGGCTGCCCCGCCCTTCAAACCGAAATGCATTACTGCTTCACGGCAGAAATAGGCAGCGTGGCGGTACCTACCCTTGCGGGCTCAACAAACATCCAGACAGACAGACTAGTAATTATAACTTCAACCCAAACTACAAACTGTTATGATTGGGTCAGATAATTTTCAGTCTCTGTCGGCAACTCCAGAGGAACAGCCGAGAAGCTATGTTAGAAATTCATAGAAATTATATTCTAATTAGAAAAATACACCTGTTTTCTAGTTTTCGCTATTTTAAAGATAGTAGCTTCGGAACCATATTTTTTTTTATTTATTTATTTAGTTTAATGAAAATAAAAGTAACAAAACTATGTAATTGAATATAGAGACTAAATTAGATTAAAACATAAATCTTTATTCGCAAGGACGTGCACCAGTTCAATTGTATTTATTGATTAGTTTTTCACAATCTAATTAGCTCCAAGTACTACACACGGATAAAAAGATTCATTTTGTAAAGCAATAAAACATGAATTGTCTTATCGTCTCTGTTATTTTTTTGTCAAATTATCCAATTCTTATGCCTTGTACCAAACGTTAAAACATCGTCCGCTGCGTCCGAATTCTAAATATTAGACCGGAGTAGGACATAAGTCATAACGCATTTAATTTACTTGTTCATTTGCGTAATTAGCTTTATATACCATATTATGATATAAAGATAGGGAGGTAGATAGAAATAAATAGAATAAAAAATACATCTCTGTTATGAAATAGATGTTTTTCCCCTGCTGATTTCTGCCGTGAAGCAGTAATGCGTTTCGGTTTGATGGGTGGGGCAGCCGTTGTAACTAAATTGAGACTTTAGAACTTATATCTCAAGATGGGTGGCGGCATTTACGTTGTAGATATATATGGGCTCCGATAACCACTTAAAACCAGGTGGAACGTGAGCTCGTCCACTAATCTAAGCAATAAAAAAAATAAAAACAAAAACCTATTCCCTGGTAGCTGAAATACTAACACTACTAGCCCTAGCAAGAGTAGTGCTTCGCAGAATCTACCACCGGCGAGAAACTCAGTGGGTGAGTTTTTTCTAATTGTCTTACAGCGTACAGGAAAAATCTGGCGTGGATCATTTTTCAACAAATTCAACCTAATCATAATATCTGATCAAATGCAGTCAAGTGCCATTTTGATATTTTTTCTAATAGGTGTTAAATAGATATTAAAACTTTTGTTACTTGGTGAAAATTATTCTCGATTTCTTAAAATTATTCATTGTATTTTTATTCAATTATTCTTACTTTTTTTAATTTCAAGATGTTATCAAATATTGCACTGTCGATTGCAGCTATAATTGAGGTGACATATGTCATGTAATTCTTGTTAATTTGTCAATATACGTCATTTTGATGATCGCTTTGTTGGTGCAACTCCTAGACCTATATAGTAGGGACACGACATATTGTTCTATACGTACAATTGCTTATATAAATAGCACCCATTTTGAAGGTACACACATAAACATATATCTATCTCGTTCTTACTCAGCACTTTAACTCGCAGGAAAACAATATAACAGTATTTCAGTGCGTACATAAAATGAAACATGAATATACGTAAATGTCTCCATCTCCGTCTAATGAGGCCGAAAATCCGCCATGTTTAGCGCACCAACTGTCATTGTCACGTCAGTTCGGCCGTCTGTTTTGGGTTGTACATTATTTATTGACTTTGATATCGATTTAATATGATTGCTTATATAAAATTTCTTATTTTATCATGCTTAAAACATACAAAAATAATAATTAAAACATATTTTATAGGATCTCAAGAAAGTCGATGCCCCAAAACTATTATCTATATATATTTAAATTCATTATGGAGCCCTCATCCGAAAAATCGGAAACCATTTTTCGGTCGGACACTAATCATAAATACCTCTTTAAAATATGTCATCAAAACATATTTAGACATTCTGTTTAGATACCTATTTCGGGAAAAAGGTTATCGACAAAATCTCTTCGGAACTATTTAAATAAAATAGTTTTATTCCGCAGTGAGTAAAACACTATTGTAAATTCGTTAAATATTTAATAATTAAGTGATTTTAGAGAGGAAGTCACAAGGAATGACGTTTGTAATTTTATTAACGAATAATTAAATGTTCTGTAGGTGTTTTTTTTTATCAGGCGGTCCCTTGATAAGTTTAAAATTTGAATCACTCTCAAGCGAGAGTGATTCAAATGGTGCGGCGCACCTTACTTTAGGTGCGCTGCGGTAGTGTGTTATGGACTTTAGAGTCAGCAAAACAATTAAAATAGATTGTAATAGTCTAAGAAAAACGCGTACTCAAAATACGATAACATTCAGCATGCTAGAAATGGGCAGATGGCACTGCACTACGCCATATCTTTATGTTTTGCGGCAAACGACAACTTTATATAATCAGTGTAGTATACAGTAGTAAATTTTAAAAATCGTCATATAGTTTACTTGGCAATTTGAAGCACGAACTCGTCTTAGATTTCACTTATTATCTAAATCACATCATCTTTGCACATAACAAATACATATACAGTCAAACCTGGATAAGCGAGAGTTCAAGGGAGCACAATCTCATTCTCGCTTATAGAGGTTTCTCACTAACCCGAGTTTCTCGCTGATGCTCCCTCTGAATTTCATTTCGCGATTTTCCAGATTCAAACGCATTCACTATTTTAAGTTTATCACTTAATGACAGTACTTTAATTTTCCGTTTTGACATGATGCAGAACAGATTTTTCCCTCGCAATTGATTAACGATAAACTGAATAAGTCCGACAAACAGGACGGTACAGAGGCACACGTGTCCATTCGAAAAGAATGCGATAAAATAACAACGTTATTTAGTTCTACGAAATAGAATAGGTTCTATATTGACGAGAAACCAATACAAAAACAATGTTAAAAAGTTCCATGAAATTTAAGAATGGATCATAAAATAGCAGATGTTAAATTTGTAATTTGTTTTGTCATTTGTTCCTCCTAAATAATATTATTATAAATAAATAAAGCTCGACTGTCGCTTATAGAGGTATAGATAAGTAGCAGTCTCACTTACGGAGGTCCATGAGGGAAAAAACGACTCTCGCTTACAGAGGTTTCTGTCTCTCGCTAATAGAGGTTTTAGGAGCTAAAAATGACGGGTCCTGGCTATTACTCTCACTTATAGAGTTTTCTCACTTATCCAGTTCTCACTTACCCAGGTTTGACTGTACTTACTTAATTCCTATTAAAGTATAAATTCTACAAATACATTCATACTCAACAATATTTAAAATAAAATGAGCCAAGAACGTTTATCGATAAAACCTACTAACATTAAAATCTTCTGGGCAGCACTAAAACCGCCATGTTTTGTGGCCAGATGACGTCACAGTGGCACGAATTTTTTGTTGACGTTTCATTTCCATAGGTTTCCTACTTCAGTGGTGCAACTAAATAAATAAAGAAATGTCTCCAAAACAACAGTAGGTACCGATTTGATTGAACTTTTTAGCTAAAAACCTTATCTTTAAACTATTACAAATAAAGCAGCAAAGATCGCGTGTCACACCTAGTATTTCATAATTACCAAGGTCATATTGCAATTGTGAATCTACATTTGACGCTATTTTTGTAGACTATACGAACAGACACACGGTCGGTCAGTACAAACGTATTAAGGACTGTGTGCTTAGTGCGAGTTTTTTAACTTCTCGATCACGTAAAAGTTTACTCAGTAGGGAGTTAGAACAGCGCCCCTAGCGGCAAACGAAGGAAGTTCTAATTTAAGTGACCGCCATCTTGTCTTAATCTGTCAGGACCAAAACAGTATCGCTTTAAGAACAAGATCCTGAAACCAATGATTAGAAACAATTTAGGGTCTCTTTTTCTGTTGGAGTCAAAGTCTGTTTAAATATCGAATCAAAATATAGTGCTCTTTTCCCTTTTGATTGATGATTTTAACCTATTAATCGATCAGCATCTAGTACAAAAGAGATTAGTGGATTATATACATTTAATTTACTTGTATACGTTAGTCCTAATTATTCTGCTACTGAGGATATGTGATAATTATATTTGTAAAACAATGTGTTTTTGGCTCGAGGAAATCGAATCTATTAGATTGTGTTACCAAGAATAAAAATTTATTTCGGCTCTGGGTACTATTAATTTAGCAGTACTCTATACGACAGCTGGTATCGATATTATACAGCCATATGAAATCAAACAGAAGCCAGAAAGCAGCTCACCGGAGAAATTCCAAACAGACTGACCTTGATATCCGGTTCAAAGTACACAGATAGCGGTGACCGTACCCTTGCGTGCGGAGGCATCGTGATGGTCCGTGATGGAGCGGCGGTGCCCGGTGGGATCGCTCGACCACGCTCGCGGAGAGCCGGATGAGGACCTGCCCCGCGGATCAGAGGTCGCTCTTGTTTTATTGCTGTAGAAAAAATGGGGTATAGGATTGTTAATCTAACTTCTAAATAATCCACCAATAATCAATAAAGTGTCAACCGTTTTGAGATTTAAAAAAATGATATATGACGTAAATATGAATGTGGAAGACTTTAGAGGGAGAGGTAGACCTAAGAAAATATGGATGGATTGCGTGTAAGACGATATGTGTAAGAAAGGAGTGAGCGAGGAAATGGTATATGATAGAGGAGTATGGAAGGAGAAAACATGTTGCGCCGACCCCAGATGACTGGGAGAAGGGCAGGATGATGATGATGATGATATTGACAAGTATGAAGATTTAATTTCGCTTAATATGGAAAAATGCTGTGTGGATACTGGGTAAGCCACCAACAAGATGAACCGATAACTTGGAGCTGGTTGTGGAAATCCGAAGAATGCGGGCTGGACCGTTTGTGTTATCTCAAGAGACAAGAAAGGTCATGACCACAGCGGCTGACATCTGATACAGAAATGGACTCCGGTAACGACCAGCATCAAACAAACATTGTATTCGTCTGCCCAACCTGCCCTTGAATTTCACCACTCGATTTCGACACTTTTTCAAAATTTAAACAGAAAACTGTAATGTAAAATATCGTGCATTCATTAGTCACCATTCGCTGTATTTACATAAGGCAGCTTTTGTCCGATTTGCCGTTGAACATTCAAAATAGAAGCACGTGTTAATTTGGTTAAAGCAAAATTTCATTATGTGAACCTAGCTTGGTTTAATAATATTCAACACTCAACATGCGATTATTTTAAGATTTGTTAATCTATTATTGAAGTGGTGGTACCTATCATTTTTCGAACAATCAGACCTACTTCACGCTAAGCTATGCACTGAATTGCACTGCGTACCTAAGCATCTAAACTTGTTTAATTGCTATTTCAAGCAGACCAGCATACGTACTAACTGATGATTAGTCAAAGTAGCCCATGAAGATTAGCAATGCAAGTTTCCTCTGTGACTGCTGGTATATTTTCCGTCACACGTCCTCTTCGTAAGCCGCCATAATATCTTATGATCTCAATCTTATGGTAATTTTTTTATTCAGTGTTCTTAATGTGCTGTTGACAGCGAGTCGCGCGGTACCGCTGCTTCCACTAACTTAGGTATCTGATCTTTAGGGGGATGTGAATGTGACGGTAGGTAGCAGTTACTACTATCCTCCGCTTCCTATTACCTCCGTAATAGTCACAACCTTCAGCACTGAGGAACACGACGCAAGGAGGGTGACCCGGAGGCCCAGAGGGGAAGGAGGAAGCACTAGCTAGGCCAGGAGGAAGGGGATTTGCTAACAGCCCCCCGTGCGCCTCTGGAGGAGACCTAACAACTCAAGGGCAGCTGCTTCGTGAATGCATACTACCGGATGTAGAATTTTACTCAGCGTAACAAGCTTTATGCCTGTAACACTCGTACAACTGAGACTACGCGTCTAAGTCATAACTTTTTCTTTTTCACGCTATGCCGTTAGCATAGCAACCACAAATAGACGCTTACGTCAAATTTATTCCGGAATTTCAATAACTCTTCAACTATCGACTCAAAGTGGACAAAGAAATGGAATTAATCGATTTGAAACACTTTCGGGGTTTGCTTTGGGGATTTATTTGTCATTCGCTTTGACATTTCGTCGCCAACCGAACAATGAATGGATGGAAGCGCACGATTAAACCGTAAAATTTGTTATTTCCACGCTTCTGTTAACGCTCTTTCTTGGCTGACGGTTCGAGTGGAAATTTTTGGTAGATTTTCAACATACTTCTTAATGACTTGCGAAATTTTGGGTACAGAACAAAATTTGTACGCTTTTTAGTTGTTTCTAAATGCTCTTTATAATCTTCTTGATAACCTCTGTTAATTAAAACTCGTTTGAAAAATCAAATTTCATAAATTTTAGGGGAAACTGTCGATAAGCACAGCGGCATTAGGGAGAATTGTTTGCGGCATTAGGGGTTCTGTGGCGAAAAGAGGATGGACTCATCTCGAGCAAGCAATAGCCTGGAAAATACGGAACGAGACAGAGGACCGGTCTATCCGTGAATAAAAATCCGTATTAAGCGGTAGGCAGCGGCTTGGCTCTACCCCTGGCATTGCTAGTCCGTAGGCGACTGTAACCACTCACTATCAGGTAGGCCGTATACTCTTCTGCATGCAAGGGCAATTAAAAATAAAAAAAATCTTCCTACCTATGCTGATAGCCTTGAGAGGCTATATCAGCGTTACTGAAGTGTGCTGTCGCAGAACCAACCTGTGAACCCTTAAGTACCTATGCATTTCATTGAAAAAATTTGTACCTGCCGGCGGGATTCGAACACCGATGCATCGCTACATACGAATGCACCGGACGTCTTATCCTTTAGGCCACGACGACTTCAAATTATTTTTTATATATTATTATATACACGGCTTAACTAACGAATATCGATTTCCCTATGTTATTTTCGACTTAGAAGACACATAAATTACGACACTCACTTCGCAATGCTAACCATGTACCAAATTCACAATGCTTAATTATTTACCTAAGCGCTTTGTAGGTTCGTAGTTTGTAAAACCATTATGAATTCTTCATACGCTCCAACAATTACAAAATGTAGAATACGAAACGAAGATGCAACGTACCTACTGTATGTTTAGTTGCATACAAACCTCAATAGTGCGGTTGCATCCTTCAAATACCTGAATACAAACCCGTAAAGTTATGCTAAATACACTGCCCACATAACCCGCCTTGCGCTCTACTTAGGGCCGTCAACGGAGCAAAGTGATCGTTCGTTGTCTTAATATTGAAAAAAATACATTTTTATTCAGCTTGGAGGCAGACGAGCATACGGCCCGCCTGATGGTGAGTGGCTACCTTCGCCCAATGACGTCAGCAATGTCAGGGGCAGTACTAAGCCGCTGCGTACCGCAAATTCTATAATGTTTTAAAACAATCGTATATTTTTTTATATTATGTTTATCTTTAAGAGTCAAAATTAAATATTTACAATTTGATATTTTTTTTTGTTTGCAATCCCCAATGTTCGGTTTTCGAAACATATATTCTCATAGAATGTAAGCTTGTTTATTGAACTTTGACGTCACAACGGATCGAAGAACACCGATAAATATGTTTTAATTGAAAAAATTAACAATACGATTTTATGAGAGAGACATTATTAAACAACAACAAAAACGTGTTTTGTGATGATGATTATATTCTTTCAGGATGACTGCAGAATAGTATAAAATAGTTTTAAAAAAAACTTGGTCAAATAGGTACGTACTATTGGTTGGGCTAATACCTGACCTAATAACCTAGTAAGACCTCGGCTCATCGATAAAATATGGTCCAAGTTGTTTTATTATAATCAGCCAACCTAGACGTGTTTTTGTTGCAGGCTAACACCGGCTCCACACGTTGGCCCCAACGTTGCTACCAATGCTACCAAAGTTGAGCGGTTAAATTCGTGGAGTGTCCACACGTTGGCTGTTAAACTAATTCCTTTCCGCCATACCGGTCACTCACATTCGCACGAATACGCAAATCCACAAGTGTAGGACGACATTTGCAAATGATTATGCAAAGTTTTCTTCAATGTTCTATTGACGAATTAAAAAAGAAGACAAATTCGTGAGACATTCGTATACAAGTGTGGCAGGAAGCGCAAACGGGTTCGCAAATTGAATACCGAACCCATATGCACAGCCGTAGCCGCTAAGTTTGCGAATGAATGTCTGACGGCCCTTCACACATGTACATTGTACGAATGTTCGCGCGCATGTGAGTGGCCGGCATCAGAGCCAACGTGAAGATGTGCGATACCGAAATTGAAATTGCTCTAAGAGCTTTTACAGTTTTACTGATATGTATAGATTACACTAGCTACTCATACGATTTCCTGCATATTCCTTAGTATAGTCCATATAGAACATGTCTATGGATATGTCTAAAGTCTAAGGATTTCATTTATTTGCAGTTTTTGTATATTCCAGAAACGCACACCAGTATGGAAAATATCAGTTTTTTTTTTAAAATACGTAATTTGAGAATTTGTATCTCAAGGTGGGTGGCGCATTTACATTGTGGATGTCTATGGGCTCCAGTAACCACTTAACACCAAGTGGGCTGTGAGCTCGTCCACCTATCTAAGCAATAAAAAAAAAAGATTTGGGTTATACCTGAGAATTTTTATTTTTTATTTTGTATCCCTAATAGCTCTACCATGAGGTGTTTCAGGATTATCCATTCTTTCTGGGACACCCTGTATATATTCAAAAGTATATTCAAAAGACAATAATACCAACATTTAATACCACACCGGCCCTAATTACACATGGGCGTACGCGAGAACTAGGCACTTCCTAATTTAGCGTAACTGCAGGGCGATTACTATGATTCACGTACATTGAGAGGCGTCAGTGAGTTTCATCATTGTTTAACCGATTGTGAGTCAAATCTATACATATAAATAAAATTGGAGTGTCTGTTTGTAATATTGAAATAACCGCTTTTTACTACATGCATATGAATATATATACGGTACATACACCAAAATAACATTTTTTACAATTTCTGTCTGTCTGTGCCGGCTAATCTCTGGAACGGCTGGACCGATTTTGACGGGACTTTCACTGACAGGAAGCTGATGATATAAGGAGTAACTTAGGCTACTTTTTTTAGACTAGCTTTGCCCCGCGGCGTCACCTGCGGTACGACAATAGCCGCGGGTAACATCGCGGGACTCAACTATCAATAATAAAATTTAATGTTTCCGAAGCGAAGCGAGGGCGGGTCGCTAGTACCAAATAAAACGGACCTTTAATTACAAAGATTAAATGTAGCTTAAACCAAGTAGCCTTTCATCCCTCACTGGTGGTAGGACCTCTTGTGAGTCCGCACGGGTAGGTACCACCGCCCTGCCTATTTCTGCCGTGAAGCAGTAATGCGTTTCGGTTTGAAGGGCGGGGTAGCCGTTGTAACTGTACTGAGACCTTAGAAGTTATATCTCAAGGTGGGTGGCGCATTTACATTGTAAATGTCTATGGGCTCCAGTAACCACTTAACACCAGGTGGGCTGTGAGCTCGTCCAACCATCTAAGCAAGAATTTTTTTTTTTTAACATTCGCATTATGTACAGTCGGAGCTGCCATTGACTATTTGGGGCGATTGGAGGGAACGAACAGAAATATTATTTTTTAATAACTAAATTTCCAGCAACCACTTTTCCTACTACACTTCAAAAGAACTAATTGAAAGAAAGATGTTTGACGTTTGAATCGCAATTGTCGTCATTGCCGACATTGTCAGCAATCTACAATACTACGTACGCACTTCCGTGCAACGTAAAATGTGTCCACGTCTTATCAAAATATAGCATATTTTTCTATGCTACATTAAATAATCCATACAATCGCCAAACTATTATAGTTACAATTTCTATTTATTGTTTATGTTCGCCAAGCTGTTGACAGTATATGGTTACCGGAAATCATGCCGTAATCCCTGTTGTATTGCATTAACGTTATTAATGAAAAAAATAGTTGAACACGTAACCTCAAATAAAAAATTTATAAAAAAATCGGGTTTAATTACATACATGATATTCCTTCATCGTTAAAAACGTTTGTAGCAAATACTTAATATACAAAATGATAAGAATGATTTGATTGAAATTACCAGGAAGTTGAAGGCAACAGATCTAGAGGCCGCAGCCATACTCGTTGGTCCGATCAGATCCGCACCGCTTTGGACAGTACAGTGTACAGCGCGCTGCATGACGCCGTGGACAGGGGAAAGTGGAAAATGATCCTAAGATTGAAGCTCATGGGTGATGGTGGTCACGATCCTCAGACATGAGGAACACGACTCGAGGAGGAGGACCCAGGTATCACCATTTTAATATCATGCCCGGTTCTACCGCTAAGTATACATCCTTTCCGGTTTGAAGGGCGTAACTCACGACCTCACCACTCAAGGTGAATGGCAGCGTTCGTATAGTGCTGTCTACGGGCTTCCATAGACGGTAAAGTTGAGCGTGAACAACTGTTATTCTTTGTCGTATCACTCTTGTCAAAGCGGTCGTGGTCGTCGTCACTCATTGCTGTGGGCAGATGTTGTGTGCCACTTCTCCCGGTTTGTGGTGAGCTTGGTACATTAATGTTTGATTCTGCAGCGCATCGGGCATGTTTGCGGAGGCGCGCACCGACGATTTCTATGCCATAATAAGAAAGCGATGCGCGTCCTTGCTCTGCAGGGTAGGGGCTAGCTCCAACAGCATCTTGGCCATGATATTCTCTAGGTTAGATGGACCTTTTCTGAATCATTGCAGAGAGGTCCACAAGGTTTTCTCGTAATGCAGCTATTGCAATCGTATGTAGTATATTTGTTGTTGTTTTCTTTTATTGCTGTGTCCTTACTAACTTAGTTTTAAGAAATAACTGTTACTAACATTTATATGGATTGTTATCTGAAATAAAGAATTTAATAATAATAATAATAATAATTAATGTAAATAACCGCCAATTACCGACTAGACTTGGTTGGTTCATCACATGGGCAACCGTTCACGGCGTCTGGTACCCTCTACTCTGCCCTGACCGACAAGGCGCTCTATGGAGTGACTTCAACGAAGACAGACATGTCCAAATAGATGCATCGATTTGACCTATTGAACAAATCGTTACAAATTGGTGCGTTAATTAGCCTCGCATATCGTACACGACAAGGCCTCGCCAGATATCTCGTCAACTCCGTCGCTCTTTGCAGCATGTGCTAATACGTTAGGCAATGTACCGCACATGTTCAAATTGAGCACATGTTACTTTATAATACTTCTGTGCGATATAGGAATTCGTGGGATTACGTAAGGCTGACTGACGGAAATTTATGTGAATTTTTAACGGTCCAAGCTTTAGGAATCGTTGGCGTGATTATACCATACGTTGCCGTGCGATAAGAAACCCGATTTATTAACCTATCATTTCAATTGAAGTTGTGACGTCAAGTATTTTATATTCTCTCTCCGGGATTTGAAAAACAATAAATTTTATCCGTAATTTTTATCCATTGCCTGACTTTTTTGCGCCGAGGGTCGTGGATTCGATTTCCCACATCAAGCAAACATTGTGTTACAGGTTTGTTTGTTCATTTTCTGGGTGTTTTTTTTATCTAAATACGTATATATTTAAACGTATAGAAGTATTTCTGTCAATCTCTGTTACCCATAACAACACAAGGAATCATTTGAAGTGGAATGATCGTGCCTTATTTGTTACCAGTTATTCATTTATTTGGTCCTGTGGCTTGGTAAAAAATTATTCTTATGTTGAAAATTCATATTTGTACGCTTTGAAATTGCTTTGTTTTCTCGTAACATCCGTTTCGCCTATAAATTGACCCACCGGAACGACCTCAAGTGACAATACGTTAAGAACTTTTGTTCGCGCCTCGTCGCGGGACTAGAAACAAGTCTTACTTGAATATACGCCTTCGTACATGTGAAAGCTAACAACATCTTTATTTAAACAAGCCAGAGTGCGAAATAACAAGGCATGCGACAATTTACATATACTTGTAGAAAACACGACCTTAGAAATTTATATTTTTTTGTTTTAGATATCAGTTTTAACATTTTGTAAATGGGCAGCCAATTTTAATAACATAACACAAAACGGAATGTATCAACTACCGATTGATACCAAGGTAATAATAATACGTATCAAAAATATATTTGTCAGAAAGTTATGTCGTCAAAATTATGACTTGAGTTTCCGTACGTACGCCTATTAAATTAATTCACACATTTTGGTTAGCAAGCCGCAAGCAATGCATCATTAAAACCTGTCGTTCATTAGTTGTCTGATTTAACAGTCAAGATCTCACTCAATAAAATCTAGAAGAAAGAGAATAAAGAAAATAGAGTGAGAGAAAGAAAAAGAGAGAGAGAATAGAGAAAAGAAAATAAATCCACAAAATTATGAATAAACTGGCACAAACTCTTCTATTGCGATTTTCAAGTGAGAGTACCAACATGAGGTATCACTTGTTGGTTTCGAGATAAAATTTAAAATTTTGACATTATCTCCATTTATAATGATCAATATTTTAAATTGTTTGATTTGTATAATAAGTGTTGTTATCATGAAGATCACACACGGGGACTGACACAGACTGCTCTAACATAATCTCTCCTATATCTGTGCTGAAATCACATAAAATACTGAGAATCATAATGCTTTATTTAATTAAATGGTAGAGGAGACGGGATGAGACTCAGCAGTCTCCTTAAGAGATTTAGATAAAATTATAAAAATTGATAATAAAATGAACAAATTGTCAAAGATTGGATACCAATAATGCTATGAATACTATGACTACCAGAAACCGTTAAAAAGTGTGTATGTACGTACCCAGGTTTCATATATGATGAAAATACTGAATCATGGTTCTAAGTTTTGAATCCCCAAAATATTACTATTAGAAAGGTTGTAGAAAGGTCGGAAATATAAAAACACGAAACATCATAAATATTAATCCAAATAACAGATAAACACCATGCCTGTTAGTAAATGTTCACGAAAAACAAAAACAACTGACTGTCTTGTAAAGTCCATGAGTTGAGAGCTATGTGTGGTCCTAGATTCATCACCGGCACACCGAAATTCTCTTTCAAGCATGAACTGTTGCTATTCTTCATGGTTTCAACAAGACTCTTAGAAGATTTTCCTATGTTGTCGCTGCGTTTGAGGAATGCTACTATATCAACACCACAGGTCTCGTTCACGGCTTTTCTACATTCGGCTGCAGCATTTGCAGAAAGCTTTCCGCTATGTAGATGGACTGCTGAGCTGCAAACCTCGTTTATCAGTTCCAGTACTGCCAGTTCAGTACCGAACATTACCTCACAGCATCCTGTTAGAGAACTTCATAATGTTAAAACTATATTGCATTATGTATAACAAAATACTTTCTCTACCTGTCATACCTTTGTATCATTTTATTAAAAAAAAAAATACTATAGATATATGATAGCTTCACAAGAAATTGTACATTTATCAAAATCTTTTAAGCTGCAACTTTTACAATCTAAATATAAAATAACTATTTTTTTCTCCTAGAAGAGACTGTTTTATGAGTATAAATTTATAAGCTAATTCATATTATAAATTCTTATTTATTTCATTTAGATGTAATTTTTGCAGAAGCTCATTCATATAGGATTTGTACTTTTGTATATTACAACATATTATTTTATAATATGCCTTACAATACTTTTTTTTTATAATTCAGACATTTTTACTATTATTACAGGAAAAATGCATACTCCTTTTTATAATTATCTACTTATCATACTGTGCTATATCACTCTTGTGATAAAGCACAGTTTTTTCCTTGCTAATTAATTATTTTTCCTGTTCCAGCCGAACTGGGTTGATTTTTATATGTTAAAAAACAAATGATGTTGTTGTTAGAGGCTTATGATCAAAATATTTTGTTTTATTAATATTTTTAAATTTCAAATTAAATTAACATAGTAGACTATGCATTTTCCTTTTTAAAAAACGCTTATTTTTGATTTAATTAAATTTTATAAAGGAATTTAACTATTTCTCAGTGCATCTAAATGATTTTACCTCATGGCTCTATAGCTCAAATAAATTAATTTGTTTATATTTGTGTCTTTAACTATATCAATTAAATTACCTAATAAATAAAATTCTCACTCAGTACATCACTACGATCGGGTCTTTAGCAAATATTACGAGCTGAGAATAAACAACTGGACAGACATATATTTGCATAGCAATATTCATGACATCTGCAAACAAACTCATAAATTCTTCTCGCATTAGACATTTACATATTACGCAAACAATAATTCAAGTACGGAGATCATTTAACAACCCAAATCGGCGTATAATTAGATTAAAACGCAACGGACGGGCCGTGAAAACTAAATGTTCGGTCGTCGAAGACCAACGGTATTGACATTGAGCTTGTGTTAAAAATACCGACGTTACCTGCCTCCCGGTCGAACTCGTTCGGCTTCAGCTGCTCCCGTGTGTGGCCCAAGATCAGCGGAGACAGGATCCTGGGCCACAACATAGCGAAACATCCCACAACAATCACTAGTATGAGCATTGTCTTCCGCGGACCCAACACCTCCTCGGTCGGCATTTTGTCGTGTTTTCGTATCGTTTTCGTCACGCACGTACACAGCCGATCACACTCTACGGAAACATCGTCGTGTGTGATTAAAAATAAAAATCCTCCCACGTCCGGTTACGAAGAAAGTTTTCTTTGACAGCTGTCAGGTGCGCCCTCTCCCGGCGAAAACTCAGCGGGAGCGGGAGCGATCCGAATTTTCACGATATGGGAGCATCCGCAAATCTTGAAATTGAAGAAAGCCGGCGGATTGAGCTGGCTCGAAGTGACACAGCCGTGTATCTTATTCAAACAGCTATGCCGACTTCTTGCCTTCCCAGCCACCGGCTCGACTTCTTGTGGTGAAATCGCTGGTAGACCTTACTGCAGTTCCAATATTGACATAGTGAATTAACGTTTGGCAGACGAGCGTACGGCGCTCGGTGGGCAGAACTCGGAACAATATGCCTGGGCGCGGAGGCGGCGCCGGCTAATAACCCGTCCCCACCGCGAAGAGGACTACACGCGCTCAGATGAATACTAATTAGACACTTTGTGTTAGCACTCGTCATTTGGATGAGCCTTACGAAAAAGTTCCAATAGCTTCATGACAATTAGACTCTTTCCGGTCCAACCACTGATATTTACTACATTTGTCAGTATAACTGTAAGGTGTATGATAATATACAAGTTCAATTTCTCCATAAAAGTGAGTTTAGCAATACGAGGTCAATAGTTTGACCCCAGTTCGCTCTAGAGCTGTCTTGTGTGGCAACGAGAAATTATTTACGCATGCTAAGTACAGTTTTACATTGATAAACATGGATGAATGGTAGTGTTAAGATAAAACGTATTCCTATTTATTTCATCTTATAAAACTAAATTTCGAGAATAGCTTTTTAGAGCATTATACATAAACATCTTTTAATATAAATTAACTATTATTAATAATACGAATGAAAGTGTATACCTACATAATTGTAAACGATAATTTATTCGGGCGTTAATTTGTAGATAATATCTAATAAAATAATATTACCAGAATTTATTTTGGAATTTGAATTTGAATTTTGAATTTGAATTCATATTCTCATTTTTCTACTTTACTGTCCATTTACATTTACTGTTAAATGTAAATGCAGCTTCTAGCGGAAGTTTCGATCATTTTAAGGAAAGGAATTAAAAGTGTGTTTGTGATTAATGCATTAATTCAGCAATGTATTATATGTATGTAGGTATGCTATGAAAATTATGACGATGATAACTTGAAAAATAGAATTAACATACATTATGTAAAAGAGTTCATAAAAGTGTTACCTATTTGTTTGTTCTAAATGGATAGTAGAGAACACTACCATCTTGGTATGAAGTTTTCATGATATAATTAGTCTGTCCATAAATACTGTTATGTACCTACATAAAAATCTTTCTTGTTTTCAAGTTTTTAATTATTTGAATATGGAACACGTTAACGCAAAATCGACAGAAGTTTTAAAAAACTTCGATTTTGCGCCATTTCACATATTTTGTCGTGTTCATTATCAAATTATGAACTCACAGACACAGCCCACTGAGTTTCTCGCCGGATCTTCTCAGTGGATCGCGTTTCCGATCCGGTGGTAGATTCTACGAAGCACTGCTCTTGCTAGGGCCAGTGTTGGCAATACTCCGGTTGAGCCCCGTGAGCTCACCTACACGTTAGGGCGAAGCTGCAATAGCCTCCCAAGGCTATCAGAATTGGTAAGAGAAAAAAATATCAAATTACAATATGGAATGGGGTGTTGAAGAAAATAGGATCGCAGTGATCGCGTTACACAAAGTGGGTATGGAGCCGTCGGTCATATTCCAGACATCAAAAGCTTGGTATCTGCCGTATGTTCGTATATCGTAGGTACTATCAACAGATACAACAACACTTCGTCTGTCGAAGACCAGAGAAGATCGGGGCGGCCGCGTGCTGTTAGAACTACAAAGGCTGTTAATGCTGTTAAAGCCAGAATTTGTCGAAACCCCATTAGGAAACAAAAAATCTTATCGCGACAAATGAAGATTCCCGCTAGGACTCTGTCGCGTATTATAAAACTAGACCTGAAGCTCGGTGCTTATCGTCGATATACAGGACATGCCCTAAATCAATCTTTACAATTAAAGTGAGTGGATCGATCAAAACGCCTTGTCGCGAAAGGCACAAAAATATCCTCTTTACCGATGAAAAAATTTTCGCGATTGAAGAACACTACAATAAGCAAAATGATAAAGTGTACGCTCACAGTTTTAAAGAAGCTGCTCAAGTGGTCGGAAAGGTACAATGTGGTCGTCATCCTGCGTCAGTGATGGTTTGGTGGGGCGTGTCTTATCTAGGAGTCACAAAACTACATTTTTGTGAAAAAGGAGTGAAAACTTCAGCTACAGTGTATCAAGATACAGTCTTGGATCATATTGTGAAATCTCTCAGCAATACATTTTTTTTAAATATATCGTGGACTTTCCAGCAGCACTGCACCTGATCACAAGGCATGAACTACCCAAGTCTGGCTTGAAACCAACGTTCCGGACTTTATAAGAGCTGAAGACTGGCTCATCTAGCCCAGACCTCAAACCTTTAGACTTCAAATTATGGTCAGTTTTAAAGGACATAACCTGCTCTAAATTACACGGAGACATTGTATCTCTTAAAGAATCTTTAGAGCAAGCAGTGGCGTTTCCCTTGGAAACAGTGCGTCAGGCCATAGATTCGTGGCCAAACTTATTAAAAACCTGTATAAACATTTTATTGCTTAGACGGGTGGACGAGCTCACAGCCCACCTGTTGTTAAATGGTTACTGGAGCCCATAGACATCTACAACATAAATGCGCCACCCACCTCGAGATATAAGTTCTAAGGTCTCAGTATAGTTACAACGGCTAAACCACGATCACACTAGCAGCATACCAATCAACTATTAATTCCAATATAGCAATAGATTTGGCAATAAACATGCATAAACAATAACGCATTAACAGAATAAGACAAACTATAAGCCCTTAGCTTAGCTCTGCCCTTAGCTTATGTCCATGGGTGACGGTAACTACCCATAGACACAGCCCACTGAGTTTCTCGCCGGATCTTCTCAGTGGGTCGCGTTTCCGATCCGGTGATAGATTCTGCGAAGCTCTGCTCTTTCTAGGGCTAGTTTTAGCAACACTTCCGGCTTGAGCCCCGTGAGCTCACCTACACGGTAGGATGAAGCTGAGATAGCTTGATGTCATAGTGTGTTATAAGAAATAGCTGTACATGCCTGTAACTGGCTTACATACCAGTACTTAATTTTATACATGTTAATTTTAGGCTTGAATGTTTTGTGTGTATTGCTGTTGGTGTGTCTAAATAAATAAATAAAAAATATCAGCATAGGAAGGGAAAAAAACGAAACTATTGGTGGGCCGTATTATCGTCTGCCTATAAGGGTATAAAAGAAATTAGAACAGTCCTGGCTTAAATAATAAATACACCGTATCACATCTTCACTTCCAATAGAGTGGTCGTGTAGTGTTGGAGGAACAGATTTGCCTCGCTTCACACTGTGGGTGTTGCAGCAGGCAGAAATGTGGTGTCACCATTATAGCCAACGTCACACACCCATAACTTGGTTTAATGTGATTCTGTAAAAAGTCAGCAGTTGGCGGTTGCTTTCATGAGTGTACCAGACTCACCGCAAGCCGGGAGAAGTGGCGATTGCTCGTGAGGCGCATAACATCTGCCCACAGCAATGATACTGAATTACGACCACGACCGCTCTGACAAGAGTGATACGACAAAGCCATATAGTAAACTTCAAGATCATGAATCCCAAAAGGACGCATAGAATACGAACAAAGATTTTTATAGACTTGCCCTTCACATGATTCAATGAATCTTATTATGTTAGATTAACAAACTCTGAGCTCCCACAAGTGTCATGCATAACTTGTTCTCGACTTAAGAAAGCTCTTCGGAGTCAATGTTAACTACATTTCTTACGAAATTACTGCATTGTTCATAATGATTACTGCACGTATTGTATCCGCCACCGCTGGGGTAGGCACCCTCAGACACAGCCCGCTGAGTTTCTCGCCGGATCTTCTCAGTGGGTCGCGTTTCCGATCCGGTGGTAGATTCTGCGAAGCACGACTCTTGCTAGGGTTCGTGTTAGCAACGTCATCAGGTTTGAGTCCCGTGAGCTCACCTACTAGTTAAGGTTAATAGCCTCTCAAGGCTCTCGGCTTATGTAGGAAAAAAAAGGTAGGCAGCGGTTTGGCTCTGCACCTGGTATTGCTGACGTCCACGAGCGGCGATAATCACTCACTCACTCAAATGGGCCGTATGCTCATCTGCCTATATGGGCAATAAAAAAAGCCAAACTTTATTTAACATTAAAAATGTAACACGAATTTGAAAACGATACCTACATACATTTTTCTCATAAGAGGTAAATATTCTTAAGAATATTATCAATGAATAGAGATTTGTCATCCCTTTAGTACGTTTCGCCCTCACGTTATAACAATAAAAGATGTATTTAAGATCAAACTGATAATAGGTACCTATTCGAAATCATAGCAGGTGCGGTAAAGTGATTTTTTACAAATTTAGTCTTTATCTCCGAGCCGTAAGGATTGTAATTTAATGATTTTCTTTTGTCGAGTGCAGCGCAGGTACCAGTGTGATATTTACAAAGGACCGTCACCTTTCACGCGGAAGGAAACGTTATAAGCCAAATAAAATTTGAATCACGCACGAACGATGCGATACGAAATATAAAATGCCAAACGGAAATCAGCCAGGATGTCCGGCTCTTTTATGGTAAGCTGTCTCCATAGCATCCAGACGAACTTATAAAGCCATTCCTGGCAACAAAATGGCGGCGGCGGCCATTTTGTAATGCACGCGCGTGCGCCGTTTCCTGCGTCGAAAAGGAGCGCTACCCAGCTATTGTTCTATAGGAGGGGATGCATGTGAGTTGAATAATTAATAACATAATGGTTTAACTGTCGAATAAAAAAACACTGGCCCTTGGTCGGTGATGAGTTGTTTTTTAAACGTGGATCACGTACTTGCCTACCTAGTAAGTAGGTACAGAAGAAAAGTACCAGATAAAACACTTAGCTAATTTAATATTTGTTATC